GAGATTTCCTGCAGCAAATAGAAGTGTCTATTTTCAGTATTTCAAAATCATAACAATAACTTAGTTTAGTCTCATAGAATCATGCTGATCTATACTGATCAGAAGTTCTGATAGGCAGATGTGCTCTTAATTTTGATGGGAAATAATTATTGCTTTCACAATTATCTATTCAGTGTCAGTCCTGTGCAGTAGCTACAACTTAACTGATCAATACATTGTACTTCATAAATAAAATCTTTCAAAATTTAGACTCTATTAATGGGTGGGTAAACAGAAAAAAATAATAAAAGGCATCCATAGCAAGAAAAAAGGTGAGAATCTTTTAGCTTACTCTATTTTCCCATGTCACAGATAAGGCAAACTGAGACCCAGAGAGAGAAAAGGACTTCCCCAAGGCACAAGACTATTTACCATAAGGGCCAGGGCAGACCCCCAGGACCTGGCCTCCCAGCCTCATGTTCCCTCTCCCACCTGAGGCTGGGGTTAGTGTTCTGTGTTTGTAGCCAGGTAGGCCAGGGGTAGGAAGTCACTCAGACTGACAGGCATGTGAGGTCAGTGGGGAGCAGGCAGCTGAGCTCAGTCCAGCCAAGGCCATTACTGAGGGCTCAGACTGGCTATTTGAGCTTTGACGAGAGGGAAACAGGTCCCAGGGAGAAAATGTCAGTAAGAGGGAGGGCTGGATCCCCCACCCTCTGCATCTCTCTGAAAGATATCTTTGGCCAGTTTCTGAGTTCCTGGGTGATGCTGGAAGGAAATGAGAACTGAGGCCCAGGGCTTCCTGCCCTATGTCTCAGTTTTTCTGCTGCTCCAAAGTATTCATAATTAATATTTATGTCCAGCTACCTGGCTTCCTCAGGTGAATTCTTATGCCTTCAGCCAGGTTCCAGGGACATCTATTATCTGAGTTTCTCCCAAGCAGAGCCTACTGGGCCCTAGTTGAATGAACAGGTCAACCTTGGTCATACTGAGCCAGAGGCAGAGGACAGAGCATCGAGTTTGGTACTGAGCATCTTGGATTGTAGTCCTGATTCCACCATTCACTAGCTGTGTGACCTTGAGCAAGTCACTTTCCCTTGCTGGACCTCCATTTCCTCATCTATGCAGTATAAGGGCTGGGCCATGTGATAGCTAAGGGCCTTTCTGGCTCTGAGAATCTGTTAGTCAGTGATGGAATCAGGAAGGGTGGCTGGGAGAGAAGGGGCCAGGGACAGCCCCAGTCAGAGCTCTGAGAGGCAGAGGCTAGAGTTTCATGGTCAGGGCATGAATTCTGACCAGTTAGCCTATCAGGTACTATGAGGGAGGGTCCTCAGAGCATCAGGCCCAGAGCGCAGCCTGTGTGTGTGCCAGTGACACACAAGGACAGCTGGAGGCCCTCACCCAGTGACTCGCCAGGTTGGACAGGAAGGAGAAGACAGGACTACCTTTGGCCTCCCCTTCTTCATAACCCAAGCCTGGTGTGGGCAAGGACCAGGCGGGCAGCGGGCCTGCTGGCAGGAAGACAGTACTTGCCAAACTCCCAGTTACTTCCCAGAAGTTCCAGGGTCCCCTGAGAGTGTCTCCACCCTAGCTGGCACCCTTCCCAGCTGGGCACCCACGTCAGCAGGTCCTCGTGGCTCCCTTGCCCTTTTACCCAGACACAATAGAAAAGGCAAAGGGGCATGGGCATGCCCACCCTGGGCCCGATACTCAGAGAAGCATCTGATTTCCTAGGCCGCACACCTGTTGCTACTTCTGCCACATCCAGTTCAGGGCAGTGCCCGAGAATGAGGCTCCAGGTGGAATGTTCTCCTCTCGGGGCCTCAGTTTCCTGTCTGGGTCCCCCTCCCAGGTGATAAGTTGGCTCTGAGTCACGGGAATGAGCGATGAGTCAGAAGTCCTACTGGCCTTGGCCAACTCACAAGGCCTCTCCAGCCTTCATTACTCCAACTCTAAAATGGAGATTGTCATAATAATGACCTTGTAGGACATTTCTGAAGGACTAAAGTTAAAAATGCATCTGAAGGATAAGACCTTAAGCCTCAGCCAGTGGTAGGAAGTGAGGGTGGGCCCTGGGGAGCATCTGACCCCAAGGATGAGGCATGTCCAGGATGGTTCCACCTGAAGAGGACAGTGACTATTATGGTGCATGAGGCTCTGGCCTAGTAAGAGCCTTTGGTTAAGTCTGGAGTGCCACTTGCTTTGAAAATCACTAAATCACCAGGAGGTGGGCAGGGAAAGGGGTTGTCACTTCTGGCTAGGAGACAGAGAAAGCCCGAGGGCACTCAGGATCAGGGCAGCAGAGCAGGGGGGCCAGTGTGAGGAAAGCCTGGGGAGGCAGGAAGCGGGCACATCCTCTGCAGGCGGGCTGCATCCAGGCGCGGAGGCTCTCCCTGACACTGGGGGTTTCTAGGCCACGCACAGTGCTGCCAGCAGGCCCACCCGAAAAAGAATAGCAGGCCTCAGAAAAGTCACAGCCCCTGAAAGAACAGGGGGCAAGGTGGCAGTGGTAGTGAGAGGGGGTCCTTCTCCCTGACAGTGGGCTCTGACTGCCCCACCCTCAGGACTGCACCTCAGGCTGACTTTCCCCTCTGAGACACCATCATGGCTGCTTCCGTGGTGAATTCCACAAGTTCCGGTTCCAAGTACATTCTCTTGTCCAGTCTCTCCTTCCCTCCTGCCGGCAGCTCTGGACTGCAGCCAGGGCAAGGGAGTAACAGCTACAGCTCAAGGCCCAGACTGCAGACAAGGCAAGAGAGGTCCAGCGAGGGGAATGGATTTGCCGAAGGTCACACAGCCTGCATGTGGTCAAGCTGGGGCTGGGCCCATGCTGCCCAATCCCTGTCCAGCCCCATCCACAGTTCTATGTGCTCCCCAGCACCCTGTGTGGTGGTGGCAGTGGGGGGACAGCGAAGGACAGGATGAGAAGCAGCTCTGGCTCGTGGCCGGCCCAGCTGTCGAGGTGAGTTGTGGTCTGGCTGCCGTGGCTGAGCTGGCGGGCACAATCTGTTCTCGCCCTGCTGGGACACAGACAGGCCAGGCACAGCAGTTCACCAGCTCAGCTGTCCAGGCCCTTGGCAAAGGGTGACACAGTCACCAACTAGATGCTGGGTGGGTGGGGCGGGCAGGGGAGCCAATTTGAGGGCAGCCTGTAGCATCACACATCCCAAGCAGCTGTCCCCATATCTCCTTGAGCTTTAAGATTCAAATGGCTTTGGGCTGACAGAGATGCCAGCTTTACTGGAACTGAGCTGCCCTCAACCTGGGCACTTTCTTGGAAATGTGGGGAAAATCTGGCACTTCATTCATTACTCATCATAGTGATCTGTTATTGAGCACTTGATATGCCCCAGACTCCAGACTAAGTGCATTACACACATTATCTCACTTATTTCTCCCCAGAAGCCTTGTGGGGCAGGTACTGCTTATTAGCCCCATTTCACAAAAGTGCAAACTAAGGCTCAGAGATGCTTAAAAACCCACACACACAGTCCATGGCAGAGTCAGGGTTTGAATTCGGATCAGACATCAAAGCACATGGTATCCTGCCCTGCCATTCATCAAATGTATTTGGGGCATAGTCCATGGGCATGGCTGGCAGAGTGAAGGAAGAGGTTAGAGAGGAACATGACTAGGTCCCCAGTGCTCACCCCACCACCACAGATAGTGTTTAGTTGTACATATGTAGTTGGGGGCCCTGGGACACAGAGCAAGGGTGGTGGTAATACTGGCCCTGGCGTTCAAAGCTGAACATTCTCAGTGCTGCTCAAAGCACACATCACCTTCAGCATTAACAAATCCAGGATGACTGCATGGAAGAAGAAGCATTGGTTAAGTTTTTATTATAAGGCTTAGAAAGGAGGAAAAATTGGGAAGCCTGCCAGCATTATTTTATTATAAGAATCCTGTTAATAAAAGTAATATATAGCTTAACAGCCCAGTGAAGAGAGCAGGGCCAGGACCAGCAGATCTCATTTTATAAATGAGGAAACATGTTCAGAGAGGGGAAGTAATTTAAGTTCACACAGCCACTAGTGACAGAGCCAGAACTTGTGCCTGGAGGTTCTGAGTTCCCACCCAGGATCACTTCCCCTCCACATCTCCAGGCAGAACTCAACTTAAGGCCATTTGATGGTTGGCCTAGGGGAGGAGGCTTTGCCTCTGGCTCAGTGAGGTCTGGGGGTGGCAGGGATGGAGGGAGAGATATGGGTTGGGGTTGCCGGGGTGGTGATAGGACTGCTTTAACAGTGCCCCCTCCCCATGAGGCTCTACTGTGGGGCCAGGCATAGAGGATGACCCTGGGTTCCTCCAGACTGGGGGCTATGAGGATCCTGGAGCACTAATTCATCCAGCTGGGAGTGGGGGCAAGACACTGCCTCCTTTCTCTTTCTCTGACACCAGTGGAGGGCCCGTTTCCTACTAACCCCCATAAGCTTTGGCTGGCAGCAGGGTCGTCATCAATGAGCCATCCATGCCTGTTTTCCTCCCTCCACCCTGAATCACAGGACATCAGAACTCAGTCCAGCTCCACCCCTTACAGTCAAGGAAACTGAGGTCCAGCAAGGACAGGGAACAGGTCCAAAGCCTACAGACACTGAATTAGATCCCAGATCTCCCAAATGACTTACCAGTACCCTTCACACTATTCCTGCTGTCTCTGGACAAAGTTCCCAACAGAATCAGGAGGCTTTGAAGCCAGTCTCTAGTTCAAACTCAGGTTGCTCTGCTTCCAAACAGTATGACCTTGGAAAAGTCACTTAACCCTCCCTATGTCCTCCTTTCATCCTACCTACCTTCTGGAGTCCTCACAATAGCAAATGAGAGCACATCAACAAGGACCAACTCCATACGTGGGCACAAGGAAGCACGGGAACTGCGTGTTGTCTTCTCTTCTGCTAGAATGAAAGGGAAGCCCTCACTGGCAAGGTGGGGAGGTAGAGGCAGAGTAGAGGAAGAGGGCAGTGTTTCTGGAAGGGCAGCCCAGTAGCTTACTCTTTCTCATCTCTCCCCTTGCTTTCCCCCAGGCTACGGCCACGCAGCGCCCAGCACTGACGGTGGCAAAGTGTTCTGCATGTTCTACGCGCTACTGGGTATCCCACTCACGCTGGTTATGTTCCAGAGCCTGGGTGAGCGCATCAACACCTTCGTGAAGTACCTGCTGCACCGCGCCAAGAAGGGGCTGGGCATGCGGCGCGCCGACGTGTCCATGGCCAACATGGTGCTCATCGGCTTCTTCTCGTGCATCAGCACTCTGTGCATTGGCGCCGCCGCCTTCTCCTACTATGAGCACTGGACCTTCTTCCAGGCCTACTACTACTGCTTCATCACGCTCACCACCATCGGCTTCGGCGACTACGTGGCGCTGCAGAAGGACCAGGCGCTGCAGACACAGCCGCAGTACGTGGCCTTCAGCTTCGTCTACATCCTCACGGGCCTCACGGTCATCGGCGCCTTCCTCAACCTCGTGGTGCTGCGCTTCATGACCATGAACGCCGAGGACGAGAAGCGCGACGCCGAGCACCGGGCGCTGCTCACGCGCAACGGGCAGGCGGGCGGGGTCTGCGGAGGCGGCGGCGGCGGCGGCGGCGCGGGCGGCAGCGCGCACACCACAGACACCGCCTCGTCGACGGCGGCGGCAGGCGGCGGCGGCGGCGGCTTCCGCAACGTCTACGCGGAGGTGCTGCACTTCCAGTCCATGTGCTCATGCCTCTGGTACAAGAGCCGCGAGAAGCTGCAGTACTCCATCCCCATGATCATCCCGCGGGACCTCTCCACGTCCGACACGTGCGTCGAGCAGAGCCACTCGTCGCCGGGAGGGGGCGGCCGCTACAGCGACACGCCCTCGCACCACTGCCTGTGCAGCGGGGCGCAGCGCTCCGCTATCAGCTCTGTGTCCACGGGCCTGCACAGCCTGTCCACCTTCCGCGGCCTCATGAAGCGCAGGAGCTCCGTGTGAAGCCTGGAGCACCTGGGAGCGCAGGCCGGGGCTCCTGCCGGGAGGAGCAGCAGGGGTCAGTGAGGGGACGGCCCCAGCCGCCTTTGGCCTCTTGGGGCGCCCCCTACACCCCGGACCACCCTCCCTCAGCCCCGCATCTCCGACTGTGCCTGCTCGCACCAGCCGGCAGGAGCCCGGGCTCTGAGGCCCCTGGAGCCCCCAGCCGCACCCTGCAAATTCCGACAAATGTGAAACTTGGGGGGTTTGTGGGGAGGGAAGGCAGAAGCTGGGAGCCCCCCATCCCTTTGTAAATCTAAGGAGCTCCCCAGTTAGAGATCCTGCTGGTACCCAGTCCACCACCACCCCTCTCCTCCCTCCGGAGGGAAATTCGTGTTCCGTGTGACTTTGCATCTCTATTTATACCTCTGTCCTGCCAGGTCTCCCACCTTTCCTCGGCTCCAAAAGCCAGGGTGTCTTTGTCCAGGTCACCCCCACTCAGTCCCATTGCCCTTCCTCATCCCCAGTGATGTCTCCCAACCTCCCAGTACCTTTTGTGTTGTTTTGCATGGCTTTGCAATTACGGAGGAAGTGGAAACCCAGCAGTCCCTAAAGCTAGTCCCCAGAGGGCAGACAGACGGAAAGTATAATAGGCAGGACGGGCAGAGAAGGGAGGGGAAGCAATGGTCCTCCAGGCTGCAGGGGGTCCTGCTGGTAGGTGAAGCCAGTCACTGGCAGCCAGTCACATTGTCTTGAGGAGGGTGGGGAAATTCAGCTTTCCAGACACTGTCCTTGGAATCAAACAGAAAACTTCATACTTGCCATCCCCTACTGCTGCTGCTAATTACTAACTCTGAAATCTGTAGAATGAGTTTTAACCTCTGAAAGCCCTGTCCTGACTACTCGTTTGATGGACTCACAACACCCCAGGTAAGTCACCAGGGCAGTTCCCATCCGTATTTTATGGATGACACTGGGACTTGGGTAAAATGACTTGTTCAAGGTGACACAGATTGCAAAAGGCAAAAGGGAACAAGAACCCAGGTGCTTGTTCTTAGTCAAAGTTCTCTTTTTTCTTCAGACTCCGCAGTCCATTCTTAACAACAAGACTCCTGCCCTGCGCTTTCTGGCATTGTGTAAACTGGGGCTAAAATCAGAACCACAGTCCAAGACTGAGCCAAATTCAACCTCTATTCTGCTTGGCCAGGAGGCAGGGGTTCTGAATGTGCTCCTGAGGCAGGGTAGGACCCCCTCAGACTCTGGACTGCCTACTCACAAACAGGGAAGTCCTTGGAACCAAAGTAAGCAGGGCTGGGTCCCAGAAGACAGGCCCAGAGCTAGGGTCTAGGAGTATGGGAACTGGGCAAAGTGACCAAGAGAGCTGGCAGGCATATGCTACTGGGACATTATCCCTGGCCCCACAGCCAGTGTTGGTGCCTATGTCCCAAATAGCTAGATATAAGCTAAGGCTGCAGCAAGGAACACCCCTCCCAGGTGGGGGGCTTGGACCTGGTGTGGCCCCTGCCTGCCCCACCTGCAAGCCAGAAGCGCAGATGCAGAGCAGCAGGTGGAGGTAGCACCCCAGGGCTCCACCATTGGGACCCACGCTGGAGCAGTTACTGTGACTCAGGACAGCATCAAGGGGTGGTGGTGGGGCCTCTCTCTGCTCCTTATTGCCCCCCCCCATGCTGTTCCCAGTCAGCTCCTTAATACAGCCAAGCAAGGCCAGCCCTGACACTGAGAGAGGCTGAAGTGGGGGGTCCACCGGGCAATCAGCCTCAGTCCCACCCCAGCCATGTGCTCTAGCCACTGAGAACCCCAGGGAAGGAAGAAGTCCAGCCTGCCCTGTGTGTGAGCCCCACCTCGGTGTGGAGGAGCTGGCTGCCCAGGTGCCAAGGAGAACAGGGCCCAGAACCCAGGCAAGCCCTCTGTGTTTATGTTGGGGATTGGGGGCGGTGCTGGCTGCCTGTGTCCTGTGTATGACCCTGCCCTCGAGGGGTCCTGTCCTGTCAGTTCCGAGGGAGCCACAACCAAAGTGCAGGAGATGGTGGGGAAGGAAGCCAATGGCCCTCAGCAGAGCGTGGCAGACTGCGCAGCCTCCGGCTGGGTCTTTCCCAGGGGGCTGGAAGGCCAGTGCTGTTGCCCCTCCCTCCCCTCCACTGCAGGCAGCCTTCCTGCTTCCCCAATGCCTTATGCCTGGGCACACTGCCACAAAATATGCAATACGTGTGGGTCACATGCCCACATGCCCACATCCCCACCCCAGGCAGCCCCTGGACCCCAAAGGCTGCAGCTGCCACAGCCTCCCTTCAGCCCTTCCTGCCTACCTGTCTTCACACTGAGAATGGCGCCTAATAAATGCTGTCCATGGAGACCAGACTCAGGCTCAGCTACCTCTGTCATCGTATACCCTTGGTGGTGCCAGGGAGTAACTTTTGCCCCACCGTGTCTATAGGCACCTTAGGCTGACTAGACCCTTTTCAGGGGCCTTAGGGATAAGTCTGGGGGCAGCAGTGGCTTCCCTTTGTAATTTCCTTGTGCGCGGTCCAGTTGTCCCTTGCACATGAGCAAACTGAGGCCCAAAGAGGGCAAGTCACTTGCCCTGAGTCGCACAACAGTGAATGGCAGGCCCAGGATTAGAACCAGACCTGAGGACTCCACGTCCAGGGCTCCCCCTCTTCACACAGCCTGCAGAGTTTGACTGGACACACCCTAGCTGACAGTGACACCTCCTTGTCACCAGAGTGGGGGATACCCTTCTCCAGCAAGGGTCCCAAGCTCAGTGTTGTGATTGACACAAAAATGTGTCTTTCAAAGGGAGACCTATCCCAAGCACATCTCTACAGGGTTCATTTTTCTCTGGGTGTGGAGGGGCAGTTCAGCTTGAGACTGGACCCCAGATCCAGAACAGACCCAGGGAGCAGGTGCACCCTGCCCAGCTGGTGCCAGCCCCCAGTCTGCTAGCCAGAGGCTTCCAGATGCCACTGAATACAACCCACAGTAATGTCTTTTATACCACAATACCCGTTTTATCCATCTACATGGATACCCATACTCTCTACCCATCTATCTATCTTTCATGAAATAATACTCAACCTTTACTACAGCCAGTACATTCTAATATTTTTCTATTCTAGTTCATGTTATAAAATGCTGGTCATGACCTACTAAATTGATTTCTCTCCCCCACTAATGGTTTGCTCTCTGCAGATTGAAATACACTGGAGAAATAAAGGTGGGTGGGGATAGGGACATTCTCCAAGTTCTGCCTATCCTCCTGGGTCAATTGAAAGGTACAGAGCGTTTTTATTTATTGGGAGTTTGGGGTTCAAAATGAAGTGGTAGTACCTGCACCCCTCTCCCAGGAGTCAGAACACCACCAGCCTTCATGGGACAGTGCTCCTGGGAAAAGCTCCTCATTGACCTGAGGCCCTTAGGGTGGCCACAGCAGAACCAGACCTTGGCTCCTATTGGCTCACCTGTGCCTCAGACCACCTCATCAAAACCCAGGGCTTCTGCCCACCGCCCAACTGCCTCCATCTTTCTTAGAATGCAAAGTGCAAAGATGGCAGACACAATGTCATCTTTGAGGTCAGCTGTGACCAGTCTAATGGTACTTTTACTTTCTTAAGCAGTTCTTGCAGGACATAAACACACTGAAACTTGCCCTCTTTTCTTCATCACCTGGGGCAAAATAATCAGAGCTTGAAGAAATCTCAAGGAGTTTTCATTCACCCATTTTTTGAGGGATGCCGAGAATCTTGGCAGCAGTGAACTGCCCCCCAGCCCTGCCCACAGCTCCTCAGGGATCAGAAGTGCTCAGGGTCCTAGAGTGGGCGTTTTATCTCCAGATGATGCCTCACTTCCATGCAGCATCTGAGGCATCTTGCTCTAAAGCATACATGTTCAACAGAACAAAAATAGAAAGCCAGCACCACAGAGTGGAGGTGGAGTATAAATATACCAAGATCCCTGCTGATGTGGCTACTCAGTGCAGGCCTCGGATGGAGACAGAAGCTTCTTGGGGGCCAAGAGGGAAAGAGCATGCAATGGAAACTTTTCCCAAAATGTGTCCCATGGTATGCTGTGAGAAGGGGGTCCCTTGGTCAAATGAATCCGAGGAAACTCTGCACATACCACTCATTCATGGAGTTCCTGAGGCATCTTAGCTTAGTAAAATTTCTGTAAAGTTGCAGATTGCCCAAACTCACTCCCAGCCCCAGCCCCTCTGTTTGCGGACATCTCACACCCTGTGTTCCACAGGGCATGCTTTGGGAAATGCTGATCTAGCAAAATCTGTCTGATCAAGCAAGGCAGCTGACCCTTTCCCCTCAATAAATTCTGGAAGCAGTTTGGCTTATAAGTCCTTCATAATGGAAGGCCATGACTTCACAAAATACATATCGTATTCCCAATATGTGTCAGCTCAGACCAGAGCTCAGGGCAGCTCACTTGCCGAGATCAGGCAGTGGGCTGATGGCAGAACTGGGGTTTGAGTGCAGGCCCGATGGTTCCAAAGCATATGCCGTCACCCACCTCACTGCGTCCCTTCCCCAGGGTGGCCCACATCTTCAGTTAAGCTTCATCAGAGGTCGCTGAACTGTTTAGGACATGTTGTTTCTTACTCACAACTTTGGTAAGAGGGTAATCTGTAACCTAAAAATGTCACCGCTCAAAGATGACAGATTCTGGTGGAGCTAAGAAATCCTGTTCTCCCTCAGGTCCTCCCAACTCCCACACAAAGGACCCTTTAGCTCTTCCTGCAGACTCAGCATTGCCCTCCCTGAACCCAACAGCACCCCCACAGCCTGTCTCAGAAACTAGGGCCAGGGGAGGGCTGTTCAGGACCAGGGGAGAGCTTCTTCAGGATAGATACATTGCCAGAGCGAAGAGCGACTGCCTGCACTGACCGCAGCAGCCTCCCTGTCTGAGTGCCTGCCTCACCGTCTCCACTGGGCAGCATGGCTCTGATGCCCCCTCCCTCCCAGGCTGGATTCACATTTGAAAGCTGACAGACTATTTCCCAAGGGGTCCCCAAGGAGACTGTCTATAGTGGGCACTGTCTCCTCCTCTTGCCAAGGTGACAGTGATGCTGGGACAACAGCCCAGGGCACTGCCAACACCTTTGTCAAAGATTGCAAGGAAATGCGCACACACACACACACACACACACACACACACACGCAACACCCACTCCTCCAGATCCTCAGTCCCTCTCCTCTTTTTCAAGGGAAGGGATTTTGGTTCTCAGAGAGGAAGTTACATGCCCAAGGTCATGAAGCAAGGTAATGGCACAACCAGGATGCATATCCACAGAGCCTAACTTCCACCCCCCACCTCCACACAGAGCGGGCGCCCAGCCTTCTCTGACTCCCATTTCAGATGAAAGCTGGTAACCTCTGAGGTTGAGTCACCCTGATGCTGGAAATTTCCCACATCTACATCTGGACAAACACCAGGAGATTCACACCCGTGCCTCTCAGTCTCCCAGCCACAGGGGAGGGCCCTGTGAGTGTTGCCACCCCTAAGGACATAATCTTCTCTGGCCATGACTCCCCAAGAATTCACATTAACAGCATTTTCCATTGCCAAAGCTCTCTCACTTGATTCTCCTATTTGATTATTGGAACATTCTCTGATTTAGGTGAAGATTAACACCCCCACTTTACAGATGACAGGACTAAAGTTCAGAAAGACCCAAGGCCCTGAGAGCAGGGACTGTTCCACATCCACCTCCACATCTGAGCACTGAGCAGAGCACGGGGCATTTCCTTGGTGACTGATGTGCCGGGCCAGGGCTGCAGCTCAGTCCTGTAACTCTTGGCCAGCAAGTGATCCACACAGCTTGCCACCTGGTCCCCATGGGCTGGGAGCCCCAAGGTGGACACGGTTCACAGACCCCATTAGCAAAAGGCATCAAGGAATCATAAACACTTTACCCACTTCTATGTATCCAGGGCAAACTCTTCCCAGAGCCCTAGACTCTGGACCAAGGGCAGAAGGATGTCCCACCAACAGCCCCTCACCTTCAGCTGGAAGGGTCAAAGGTTCCTCAGCAGAAGGTCATGTCAAATCAACACTCTTCCACAGTTCTTGTTCCCTGAAGAAGAAACATGTGACCAGGTCATCCCTACAGAATATTCTGGTCTGACTACTAGACCAGAGTGGCAAGACGAAGGTCCCCATCCTTGACCGTGCCAGATGATGGGAGTGCAGACAACCCCTGCCACCTCTCCCAAAAGTTCTACTCTTTCTCAAACAAGCTGAGAGTGGAGAGCAAGTTCATTTCTAAAACTGACATCCAAAATGGAAGAAGATGCCATCTTCCCTTCTTGTTTCTGTGAATGATTCCTGGGAACCCACTGCCCCAGTTTGACTAGGCTGGAGGGTGGGGGAGCCTCACACTCCTCCCCGAGTCGGACAGCTCACAACACAGTGATCCCTCCTCTTTCTGATCTCCTGCTTATTTATCCAGGCCAGGGAGGCCTAAGGACAGCACTTTGTCTTTGACTGTGCATTGTGGTGGCAAATTCCAAAGTAAAAGTCAAGCCAGGCCTCTGCTGCCCTGAGGCTGAGCGGCTGCTGGCTTAATGTGAGTGTGAGCTCTCACCGACATAGCATTGCTAGATCTTATCTGGTTGGTTCCAGGCTTCTGGTGATATTCCAGACGTTGTAGCCTGGTTCCACTATTAAATCTATTCCCACTCTCCCCCAGCTCCACACCACCCACTGATTTGATAATCCAGCCTTCTGTGCCATTATTCAAGCCTTTGATGACAATATCAAAGAGGTCAGGACCAAATGGAGGACCCTTAATTCAGGGTAACATTTATTCTAGCATGTTCTTGGTGAACTGTTACTGGCTTCAGCTGCCTACCACTTCCTTTAATCTGTTTCCTAAAAGTGTCTGTTTAATGAAAGCTCACAGGTGGCTGGGCTCCAGTCACATGAGTCCAGCTCCCGAGTCCCCCAGGATATCATTGACCTACGCTGGAGACTTGAGCTTGCTGAAAAGAGAGGTGCTTCCTCATCTGGCTCAGGCTTCACCCCCTCACACCCGCCCCCCACCTCTCTTGGGCTTCATTCAGCTCAGCCCCAGCTCCTGAAATGATTGCTGCCCCTCTCAACTCCTTCCCATCTCAACTCAGCTCCTCTCTCAGGCACTGGGTCTGTCCCTGAGGGGAAAGAGCTGGAGGGCAGCCCCCAGAGCCCCAGTGGATGGCCCCAAGAGTTGAGCTCTGGACATCCAGGGCCCTGAGGCCAGCTGGAGCTGGGGTGGGTAGGGCACAGAATATCCAACACTTGCCAGGAGCTGGGCTAGGTGCCCTACCAGACCCTCATCAAAACCCTGTGGAAGCAGGCACAGTTGTCTCCATCTCCTGGGGAAGGAGACGAAGTGAGAGCGCT